GCGCTAGGCGACCGCCCTCCGCCGGCATACGCGCGCTCTGATTGGTCGACGTTTTCCGTTAATATCTCCTTAACGAAGCCTCGGACAACATTTTCGCTAAGGAAAAAGTTGTTTCAAATCACCTCCCGAACCACCTTTTCCAAGAACCTCCAACATTTTTTGGACACACTGTATATTTTGTATATAAAATTTAAAAATTTAATGAAAATATAAAATTAAATATTAAATATTCAATTTCGCCAATTTTCTTCAATAATTTGCTACATTCAAACAGGAAATTATTTAAAAATTCAATCATTCAAAATTACTAACATTACTCTTGTATCATTAGAAAGAAACATCGCTTTTTAGTGTGAAAATTAGGTGCATTTACTTCGCGTACGACATTATAAGAATATTTATTTCTATAGAAATAGTCGAAGATTTATTCAATTTAATCGGAAACTTTGTTTTTCAGGTGTTAGGCACGGCAATAGAAAAAATTTTGACCGCACAGAGAGGGAGCGACGCGGAGGCATCCGGATCGACTGGGAAACCTTCGGTATCGCCGAACAAACAGAGATCCAACAAAGTAGCGAATTGGTTCGCGGGCAACAACAAAGAACAAGAGCAAACCGAATCTTGCGAGCAATCAATTTGTTCCTCCTTGAAAGACCTCTTCGTTAAGTAGTGTGCAAGCACGAACGTGGGCTCGTTCGATTGGTCAACGCTTCTTCGTTTGAGGTTTTATTCAGAAATTAATGCGACCTAATAGCTGATCTACAAAGGACTGAAAACTCCAATTAATAGTCAAAGACAGCGTTGTAGGCATCTTTTACGCTAATTCCAAGTGGCTGCATTCCACTGACTGCATTTCATACGATCGCTACATACAGGGTGTTCCGCCTAACTCTTGTATCTTAAATATTTTCCCGTGTTTTTTTATGATAGAACAGAACGTAGAAGGAAACCTTTTTTCAACGGGATGAAGTATTTTTATTATTGTAATATTGTAGCTGACGAAAAAACAAATTCAAATATGTATAATGTGTTGATCTTCAGACGACCTTGTGAGGAGTTATTCTTATAAAATCATACTCCAATGTACACAGTCAACATATTACACGGGTTTGAATTTGTTTTTGCATCAGCTACAATATCACAATAATAAAACTACCTAATACCATTTAAAATAACCCCAGTGACCTTGAAATCTCAGAAAATATAACCTAAAAACAATCTTTTTGTTTATCTTAGTATGCTCCCCTTCAAATTAAACAATGTTTTCCTTTAAGATTTTTTTGTATCACAAAAAGCACGCGAAACATTTCAGGTAAAAGTCTAATTGATATTATAACATCCTCAACAATAAATCCTCTCAAGGTTATCCGAAGGTTAACATATTATACATGCTTGATATTGTCTTTTTATCAGCGATTCAAAAAATATCGAATACAGATGCCTACAATACTGTTCTCGACTATAGTTATGAGCTCCATCAACGGAACAACAGACCTTGTAATTTGCAACACCTTTTTATAATACTTTTATAATTAGATATCCTTTCGATATTTTTCTAATTGTTTGTTATTTCATCTACATTTTTGATTATTCACAGTATACTGTGTTATAACTTAAGTTATAACCTAATGCAGAAAAATTATAGAAGATTTTAACTTCAATCATGATATGTATATCATTTCATTTGTATTAACTTTTGTTTAACTTTTCATATTAATATTTGCAATCGACTTATGTCGCGAGACTAAGATGTTATTCTTACTTATTATAATGTGTTTGTAAAGAATTTTTGAAAGATATTTCAAAAATAGTTCCTGGGATCCTTTCTGATTTTACGGAAACTTAGTAATGAAGATTTTTCAAAATAATAGTAATAAATGGAACAAGTCATTCAATAGATTATGTCAGTGTTTCTCAAGCTGTGATTCACAGTTTCCTGGGAATGTAAATTAGGTTCCGAGTTATACCTAAATATCAATCTTGATTTTAGAGAAACAGCATCCTTCATTGCATTAAATTTAAATTTGTCGAATTTGGTTTATGCAAATTTATTAACATTACTTAATTCTTACAACTATTTGCCACTTTGCATTTTCCTTCTGTTCAAACTAAAATTTTATTATATTTCTCATTTGCAATTAAATAGTTTTACCTAAAATCGATCAAAAGCAATTAAATTATTAATACATACTGTTAAAGTAGCATAAATAATAATCAAATAAATTGCAAGAATTAGTAAACAACGTAAAAAAAATGTTAAACTATAAATACATTTGTTTTACAAAGAGTTTTAAAATATATTACAAGGATAATTCTATTTTATGATTTCCACTAAAAATTAAGTTTGAGAAACACTGTCTTATACTATATACAATAATTACATTGTATTTTTTATTTCATTATTTTATTACGTCACATTTTTGCATAAATACAACTCTAAGAATAAAAGGAATGTAAATCGAAGAAGTTAAAAGATTGTATTATCTCTACATTTTTGTTTTGACGAGTCGCATACCTCCAGCAGGTCACTAAAATATTCGAGCCTTTGCAATCAAATATTTTAAGGGACAAGACAGATAACTTAAGCTAAATATTTAAAAATATTTTTATGACCACTGCAAAGCACAGCTACAAAGATTATTTTTGCAAAATCCAGAGAAGATCTGATAAGATACGTAGGTACCAATTATTTTTATTTTTAGAGTATAATGTATTTTACATTGATATATATAGTATGGAATAGTGTTAAAAGTGGTCTAACTATATATTTTTATGTAATAGCGTAATGATAATAGTTTTCTGTTGTAGCCTTTTTTATATCGAGAAACTATATTCTTACATTACAGTTTTTGACTGCAAACATTCAAATATTTTTGTGACACACTTTATATCTAATCGAACATTTTTTAAATTTTGTATCCATACAAACAAAATCGAAAGGTTTTCACTTACAAACATGTATAAAGAAAAGAATTTATAATTGTTAATCATTATTAGTATTTTTACATAGGGCAGTAGGAAAGTTTTGTTGTATAGCTGTACTGATTATAATTTTTCAAGACATGTTCTGTTACACTTTAAACAAGTCATTGATTATGGTTTTCTTACTTTCTCTTGGGTACTGCGATACATACTGGCCAAAAATATTTGAAATTTGTTAACCGACTTCGAAAAGGAGCAGGTTATTTAATTCAACATGTACATTTTTAATAATAAAATGATCATTCATTTGTATTGGCATACAGGAAAACTTTCCTGGAACACTATACTGCGTATATGAGGTATCGTTATTGAACAATCAATTTAAAAAGGGGGAACAAATGTCACAATCAAACTGGATTTCAACTAATATGTAGTTTCAGTAAAATCAGAATTAGATAAAATGTTGTGCAACTGAAAAATTAGATATCAACCCTCAAACAGACCCTTCTTAGATTTGGACAGTTTGGTGAATGTAGCTTTTACTACATAAATGTGAAAAAAACACCCGTACAATCTCTATGCTTACCACAGAGTATCCAATTTCCAAAATAAAACATTGAAACTGGACTCCCCGATTTCGAAGTATAACTAAATAATGTCGTACAATAAATGTTATATGGTGTTCTGTTAAAAAGATTCGCTTCCTTATGGGAAAACAAGTCAGATCTAAATGGGAATATTGTTGAACGAACTGAACATTTCAGAAACAAAATATGTCAATCATAATATTATGCCCCATATGAAAGGTATAATTTAAAAAAGGGCTAATTGTAATGTGAAACAAATAAACCATAACCTCTAATCACGAGTGTATGTCTTTTAAACTGTAGATAACAAATTATTCATAAAAAATATGGATGCTCAAGGCTGGACTCCATTTTACACATAATTGTATTTGTACAATTGTATTGTATTTTTGTATTTTTTAAACCACTCGAGGTACAATAGTATAACGAGAAGCATTATTTAATTAGTAATGTGTTCTTTATAGGAAAGATTTCGTTTATAAGGAATAAAATAAAATGACTGAATAGTCTGGCTCAATATACAAAGATATAAGCAATGACATAACTTGAAAATTTGCTCTAATTAATATTAGTTAATTCGTAATGATAACATTTCTTACATTAAATTTTACTTAATTTTACTAATTACTAAATTTACTTAATCAAATAATATTAGTTAATTTGGAATGATGATAACATTTCTTGCATTAAATTTTACTTAATTAATATATCATAACCATGACTATGAATCAATTAATACAATTCTCGTGATTAGAGAGTGACAATCCATCGTGATTAAATCCGTCAATATAATGGGCTTTCTCGTAATTTCACATGCATACAAATTAGATTACTTTACATTGATAATATTCCTATTGTACCAAAACAATACTCAAACAACATTATCAAGAAAAAATATAATGTGTGTATTTATTTGCCTTTGCTGGTCGAAGGGTTATCAAATAATTGTAATATATTGTGTGTGTATAAAAATTGACGTATACTTTTAATAATGACGCGCTGATTTAATTTGTATAGTAAATTATAGTAAAATATTGTGTAGAATTACCAGAATGTAAGCAACGTCTGTGTTTTGTCGAATGATCATTGTTGAAATACCCTTAGAATATCCAACAAAATGAATAAGTGCAAATAATTATGGCAATTATTATACGAATGTTGAAAAGGAAAATGAATTTACTAAATATACATGTTTCATTAAATATGACTGTTAAGTACATGTGTTGTTACTTGTACGAACTAACGTTAATATAATCCTGATATTGTATTTATGGTTTTACTTTTCGCAAAATGAATAAAATCTACAAAGATCTATCACGTGTCTTATAATCATATTTCTTTGCAGTGATGGTTTAAGATTGGGAAACTAAACAAACTATAATTACGTGTTTATCGTTAAACATAGTAATAGATCGATTGAAATCTCTTGAGTATCATATACAGGGTGTCCAGAAAATGTTGGAGGTTCTTGGAAAAGGTTGTTCATGTGATTTGAAACAACTTTTTCCTTAGCGAAAATGTTGTCCGAGGCTTCGTTGAACAGATATTAACGAAAAACCCCGAGCCAATCGGAACGCGAGTACACCCGCGGTAGGCGTGGGCTATGCGCTAGGCGACCGCCCTCCGCCGGCATACGCGCGCTCTGATTGGTCGACGTTTTCCGTTAATATCTCCTTAACGAAGCCTCGGACGACATTTTCGCTAAGGAAAAAGTTGTTTCAATAACCTCTACCCTGTATATACAGGGTGTCCCAAAAATATTGTAACACCTCCAAAGGGGTGGTCTGGGAGGTGATTTGAAACAACTTTTTCCTCAGCGAAAATGTTGTCCGAGGTTTGGTTCAAGAGATATTGACAGAAAACCCCGGACCAATCGGAACGCGAGTACACCCGCGGTAGGCGTGGGCTTCACGCTAGGCGACCGCCCTCCGCCGGTTACTCGCGCTCTGATTGGTCCGGAGTTTTCTGTTAATATCTCCTTAACGAAGCCTCGGACAACATTTTCGCTAAGGAAAAAGTTGTTTCAAATCACCTTCCGAACCACCCCTTTCAAGGACCTCCAACATTTTTGGGACCCTCCTGTATAATTACAAATGGGATCATCAGGAATACATGTGTAACTAAATGTGAAAAGGTTGATCGCATTTGGTAAATTCCTTTTCGAGTTACATAAAAAAAATAGGGATTTTGCAGTAACAATTGTTATAAACATTAAGAAATTCAAAAATGTTTCCAAATGGGAACATAATCATTTGACATTATATGCTTGACATCTCGATTGGCTAACTACTTCCCGAGTTACATCAATGAATAGGAATTTTGCAGTAACAATTGTTGTAAGCAATTAAAAAGTTCATAAATTTTTCCAAATTCGAACATCGTAAATGCAACGATAAGTTATATTTATTTATATTAATTCTACAGGTGTTTACTTTGTGCGTAGCCCATTTATTTATTTCACATAATACTTTGCAGTATTATAATTTAGTTTAACACATGAAAAAAAAGAAGGAAAGCACAGGTATTTGTAATATGCAAAATATAATAATTGTGAACATTGATGGATAATACAATGCTTCTGAAAACAATTTTATTTTGTAGAAACCCGTTGCAACTACATCCTTCGTTCAACGTTGGTGTTACATCAGTGTAAGATAGAATTATAATCTAAAGGCATTACCTGACATTACAATTCAAACTGATCAAATACGTGTTTATCAATTATCCTGTCCTGAGGAAAGAAAGTGTATAAATATAAAATAAAGAATGCTCTAGATAATGAGCATTTTTCATGGACCTAAATGTAAAAGCACAATAAGATAAAGTATCGTAATCTCGCAGACAAATGCATTGTACAATAATTGTGTAACACTTACTACTTATGGACTTTCAAAACGCAAATCCTTATTAGTTTCATTCTTAACAGATATTGAAATACGAATAGTATACAAATAACTATTTCATGAAATGCACTTTTCATATATGTACATTTTAATGTGCCATACCACTTAATACCATTAAAAGAGGAATATTATATGGAAGAATGGAGATCTAACACTTTTTTCAACTGTCTCGTATTCCATTTTAGTATACAAAATGTGTGCTGCTTGTTAGAGGTTAAGTAAGAATGAAAATGAAATTGAACAATTATTTCTGGAACAAAGATGATAATGAATTCCAATTTATCCCGTATTTAAATTTGAAATATTTATAGTAAAAATATAGTACAATGCAGGGTGATTTGGTTTTTGTTTCACATTGAGAAAGTATATTTGTTTATGCAAAAAATTAAATTGATAGTATCGAAGAAAAAAGATGATGACTGGAATGAATGTGTCATACAATAAAGACAGCAACAGTTGTATGCAACAGCTAAATCAAAATGCAGTTATTACAGTATCTAGTTGAACGATCTACAGTTCTCCACAGTTGGCTACCACAATCTTCTTTGAAGTCTTCCCACTCTCAGATCCCATTGACTCCAACTACAATGAAAAATAAACAAATATTAGAACTTTCATTCTTGATAAAAATGTATTATTCAAATTTACTAACGCTTTCGGTTACTCTAAAATTAATTAAGAAATTTAAGAGTAACAATTATTTATAATTTCAACAAGAGTTGATAATACAACATATGCTTAATAAGAAAATATAAATAAAGGATATAGAGATAAAAAAAACGCAAGTACATACTTTTTTAAACACATCCATTCCTTCAACAACTTTTCCAAAGACAACATGTTTGCCATCAAGCCAACTTGTCTTGTCACTGGTAATGAAGAACTGGCTACCATTGGTATTTGGACCAGCATTTGCCATAGAAAGAATGCCAGGTTCGGTGTGCTTCAATATGAAGTTTTCATCATCGAATCTTGGTCCGTAAATAGATTTTCCACCAGTGCCATTATGATTGGTGAAATCGCCACCTTGGCACATGAAAGTTGGTATCACTCTATGGAAGCTGCTTCCTTTGTACCCGAATCCCCTCTCGCCAGTACATAGGGCACGGAAGTTTTCTGCAGTCTTTGGAACAACATCGCTTCTCAACTGAAAATTGAACGAATATATTTTCCTGAAAAAATTATAATACATAAAACATTTTTCAAATAAGATCACGTATCTTCCTGTTTTAATGCAAAGCAGACTATAAGATAAACCTTCCGATAGTAAATAATAAATGGATTTCTATCGATCCATCATAGTATTAGGTTGTCCCAAAAGTTTCTTTCGTGAGTTGTATTCAATTATATCCTGTGGCAGTGTTTATATAAATAGACAATCTAATTGTTTAGACATTGATGCTGTAACAGTAAGAATCGAAATGAATCGTACACAATTCAGTAATGTAACATAAAACATAAAATATTGCGTATATATTAATTATTAAAAAAAGCGAAAGAAACTTTTAGGACAATCTAATAATATTATTGTAGTCACATGGAATATTTATTATGATTGCATTACTGTGAAAATATAGATATAAGTATAAACTTACTCCAAATAATTTATTTCAAATGCACTCATCGGAATCTATTTTAAAATGTTGAATACTAAAATCAAGATCAATGTAATAATATTCCAAATACATGATATAAGTTTGAGAAATAAAATATTATTGTTTGAATATTTAAAACATATTTTATCGATTATTTAATGCAAATTTATACTTTCAAAATTCTGAAATATTTGGAGTATCACGTGATAAGAACAAGGTTTAAATAAACCGTGAACCAGAATTCAGGACTATTTTCGGATGAAAGTATTTTGTAAAGCACCAACTTGAAAAATGCGATCAAGAATATTTATAGATCAAACACTATTTCATTTAAATTCGCATTGACCTTAGTCTGGTTTATTTGAATGTGTAAATTATGATTGACCTTGATGGAAATTGCACAAATCACGTTAAATAATTGTACATGTAAAATAGGAATTACTTTATACAAATCATAATTAATTGTAAAGTTAACATTGTTCATTTATTAATATAATCTAAACAATAAATCTTTTGAGGCACATCATGTGAACATGATCTGCTTATTGAAGTAGATAAATTTACTATTTATATAACAATGTGCGTGTGTGCGCGCGCGCGCATTTGTGCATGTATGTGTATAATAGCTAAATTTGTAACAGAATAATTAACTTTCCAATTCTAGGTAGCATTCTGTTTTTTTCCATTACATTTTTAACTCAATCACAGATTTCTGGTATTTTTGATATTTCAAATCAAATTATAATACTAAAAAAAACATATTTAATCATGTTATTATACTTCATTGTAGTACTCGAAGATACTACGACTATTAACAATATTAGCAATGTATCATAATTATATCCTACATTTTCACCTGTAGAAGATACGTAATCAAACATGTCAGCAGCAATCGGTGAATGGAAAATTTTGCGATTCAGTAGGAATCCAAGTGCGGCAGCAATGTGACGCAAACGAAACCGTCGTGGGTGTTTATCAAACCTTATCAGTTATACAGGAAAATAGATTTTATTTTCTGCTATGCATACTAAAACAATATTAAAAAATGCACATTTCTAACGGTTTCGAGAAAAATTCAATCCGGAAATTGAATCGCATAACCGGCTTCGAAGAAAATCCAAGATGGCCAGTCATGCCGGGATTCTAACAGGGACACGTTTAAGAAATGAAAAACTCCTTTAATTGGGAAAATCGACGCTTACCTCCATCACGATCCGGCCCACGGGCTTATCGTTTGCAGTCATATCGAAGAAAACACGCGGCAAACCCATTTTCTCGGCGGCGGCAGCGAATGTTCTGGCGAGCAATGCGAAAGACGATCGACTCCGGCGGGCGGTGGCTTCCAAATGACTCAAATGGCTGAAGGTCGAATCAATTGACAACCGGCAGATCAATCCCAACGCCATGTTCGAAAATTGTTACCTACGAAATCAGTTCGAAACGGATCGATCTTTCTCCGCTATGGCTTAATACGGGCCCTATTATATTTTTCGGCCTTTCAATTATTATTTTGTATGATTATTATGTAACGGAATGGTGATTTTCAGCTTGGCATCGACGGTTATTGAACGAACAAACGTGCTTTCGCGTTCGACCAATCAGAGGCGTATTTCTAGGCTCCTACGAAACGACCAATCGCGTTTCATGTTCAGGGCCGAATTATAGGCATACGGTGCCCTATAGAATTGTCACTATTTAATCACCTTCGAGGCCCTATATTCAGGGCCGGTTTTAGTAATATTGGCACCCCGGGCAAGATTATCGTGGCACCCAGAGGCTTAAAATTTTTAAGAAAAGAAGACAAGGTAATAAT